TGTGTGTGTGTGTGCCACCCGGAAGATCAATCAGTCTGATTCCTCTCACGTACTACTTAACCAGTCAAAATAAAGAAAAGCATGTATAGACAACATGCATAGAAACCAGCCTTTTGTGTACATGACATTGTTTTTGTACACTACCATGACAATACCATTGTTTTTTTTTTTTTTTTTTTAAGGGTCAATTAAAGGGTAATTTAGTCACTGATTAAAACATTGTTTATCCTCTGGAAGTTAAGTTTAGTGCTATATGAGGTGTTTATTACAACCATGTTGTCAAAATTTCTTAGTTGTGTTTTAGAAAACTGTATTTTAAAATGACATGAATTGATTTATATTATTATATACTACTACTAATAATAATAATAATAATAAAGCCAATGAATATTAAATAAACTGTCTGGCTGCAAATATTAGTTGTCTTTAAATTCATAATTTAAACCTATTTAATTTAACAAAATGTATTCTATAAACTTATGCCATATAACTATCATTTACATTTTTTCCCTTCCCTACACAGAAGTCATAAAGATCTGGAGATAATAGAATTTCATAAGACTTGTCAGACATGCATAGGGAAGAGTGAATTCACTCTTAACCTTCAGTATCTATTGTCAGCGGCTGATATATGATCTGGATTCAGTCCATCGTCTCCAGTCAGTGCTGGTCTGAACTGCCAGACAGGAAAATGTGACACCAGCATTGTTTGCTTAAGCACTGACTTTACGCTCCAATAATTACTCAAGCATGTACAGTATCACAAGCTACAGTTACTCAATCCACTCCAAAGTCTGCTAAAAGGTAAAAGGGAAAAATGTACTGTATTATTATTCTACCACTCAGTGCTAGCTCTTCATGCAGTGAGTCAGCCAGTGGCTCACATTTTATAAACAATAAATGTGTTTAAGAGTAAATAAATGCATCTGAATCCAAGTAAAACAGATTCTACTAATACATTTTAATATCTATTGGAATTTAATTACATTACCCTTAAAAAGTTTAAGATTTTTTTGTTTTTAAAAGAAAAAAAACAGAAAACCAATAATGCTGAAAATTCAGTTTTGCTTTCATAAATGTAACAGGGTTGACAAATTATTATTATTATTTTGTATTATTTGACAAGTTCTGTCATGACAAATGTTCTTTCTAAGAAGCAGCTATACAGTAGTAGAACTACTGTGCACAAAATTATGGTAACAGAGTTGACCTTTTAAAATTATCCCTATACTGACAAACATAAAACATTAAAGAAAAACATAATTTTTAGAAGTATAATGGAGAGGCCATTATGCATCATTCGTGCAATTGTTCAATTTACTATAAAAAAAAATGTTTACAGGGTAACGGTGAAAGAAATGGCATGGATCTGGGTCTGGATGAATTATCGTGAAGTACATTACCTCTCTAAGGTAGAAAAACAGTGTGAACAAGAGTGATATAAAGGAAAAGATACACCTCTATCTTTGTCTGTGTTCTGCTTTAGATCAGATGACAGATGACTTGATATATTTCCTAGGTAGCTAAATATAGGTCAGTCCTTTCTAGGAGCATGAGAGAACAGTTTCTCTCACACACACTCACAGTGACTCTAGAGGACTGCTGAGCTACACTTGCAGAGCAGGTGACTGGATGACGTACGCTGGATCCTTGTGAGGGCAGTTTCCACAGCAGAATACCTGATCGCAGGCACGTTGCTCTGGTGACAACGTGTGAACTGGGAAATCTCAGATGGACTCCTAAAGAGACACTTTAATTCACTCAGTACACATTCAACATCTAGTTGAAAAATAATCGGTTACAAGACTGAAGCCATTCCATTTTCAGGATTTCATATTGCTGGCTTTCTTTTTAGACATTGCATGGGGTGTAAGGTTCATGGTTACAACAGACAGGTTTACACAAGGGCCGTTTAGGGAGCATTTAATCTCTCACCCATCAGGCGCACGCTGCCTCCAGAGTCACGACTGTTACAATTGAACGCCGCAATTATGCATTGCTTACTAAAGAGCAAACCTTTGTCTGTCTGTACAATGTACAGTGCGGCTCCTCTGGGTTTAAGTGTGTTATTTGCTGAGTCAGTGGCCACATTCGGTGTAGCGTTTTGTGTAACCTGTCCATAGACACTTAAATAAAGAGACAACAATAGCAGAGATGCCTCTGGATCTCAGGTTCGCTGGCAAAGAAAAGATTATCTTGCATCACAAAACCACAGTGAGATAAATGAAAATTTAATCACCATAATGACATTGTGACCCCATATTATCATTAAAGCGGATGATTTAAAATGCCAAACTATAAAACGAACATAAAAAGTCCATACAACATGTGCACTAGATTGAGAATTTTTATTGCCTTTCTCTTAAAGGGATAGTTCACACAAAAATGAAAATTCTGTCATTAATTACTCACCCTCATGTCGTCCCAAACCCGTAAGACCTTCGTTCATCTTCAGAACACAAATTAAGATATTTTTAATAAAATCTGAGAGCTCTCTGACGCTCCATAGACAGCAATGCAACTGCAATGTTCCCAGGTCCAGAAACGTAGTAAGGACATCAGTAAAATAGTCCATGTGACATCAGTGGTTCAACCGTAATTTTACAAAGCTTTGAGAATACTTTTTGTGTGCAAAGAAAACAATAATAACATAATTTATTCAACAATTCTTCTTCCCAAGTTGCGGAACGTTGTTTACGTTCAGTATACCGCGCGGATCCTGAACGTAAACAATGCTGATTACACTGTTTACGTCCAGCGGATACTCTCCAAAATGGCGGAAGACGTTCATACAATCAACAAGTGTATGGTCTCACAGTCTGGTCGGATCCTGAGTGTGTGCGTTCAGAGGGTTTTAAAGGGGTCATATGATGCGATTTCAAGTTTTCCTTTCTCTTTGGAGTGTTACAAGCTGATTGTGCATAGATAAGATCCCTGAAGTTGCAAAGACTAAAGTCTCTTTAAAAAAGCATCATATGACCCCTTTAAGGCTAAAAATCAGTTGAAACTGTCTTTATGTCTGTGGTCTACCGTGGTTTTAAAATCGGTTAAGATTTGAAAATCGTATGTGTCCCAAGCCCAAGTCAAAATAACTGAAAGTCTGTGACAGCCACAGGATTAAAAAAATAAATAAATTCACAATTCAGAACTTTTTTCTCATAAATCTGAGTTTGTATCTAACAATTCAGACATTTTCAGTATTGTGAGATATAAACTCAAAAATGCAAGAGATAAACTCTGAATTGCTAGATGTTAATTAGCAATTGCGTTTAAAAAAATACGAGACGGTTTTTTTTCTATTTCATTGTTGTCTTCTTTTTTTTTCCTCCCTCAGAATTCTGAGGGTAAAAAAAGTAATTGCAAGAGAAAAAATAAATAAATTACTAAAAACAACAGTTATTGTTTTTCTTTTAAATATGATTTCAGAGGGCTCAGAATGTAGGGCACGAGTTGTATGGACCACTTGTATTGTACTTTAATGGTGTTTTGTTGTTCTTTTGGCACTATAAATCAATGTACACACTTTTCTTGTGTGGTGAAAAGAAGCTTTGACATTTCAAAAAGAAATAAAACATTTTATTCACAGACATTTTTAGGGCTGGAAAAATGAATACAAAAAAATCTATTTTAGATTTAAAAGCCAAGCAGCACTGCTTCTCAGAGCTTTCTGATGGTGAACGTTGGTTTGAATCTCCTCACATTCATTAGACAACCAAAGATCAAGGAAATAAAGCAGTGCTTATAATCCTGATCAGGATTTTTTATCAGTCACATGGCGAGTGTAAAAGGTGCTGTAATCTCATTAACCTTCATAAGGATGTTTCATAAGTAAATTGTTCCTTAAAGTCTTATTATCTAACAAGCATGTGTAATTAACCTTGGGATTCAGTTTACGCTCAGTTTCATTTTTATGCTGTTGTAAAACAATGTCTGGATCAGTAGTTTGGTATCCAATGCAGAAAATGCAGACAAATCATGGTCCTGTTTTTATAAATGTCATTCTTCTTTTGTATATGTCTACATATTGACGTATTGTATAATATATTTAACGGGCTGTTCAAGTCCAAGATCAGTATAACTGATGTATAAATAGGCACAATAATGAGACATAATGATTTTTTTTCTTTGTTAAATGATTGAAATATGGCCTATGGTTAACACAAGCTCAATGAATTGTTATGTTTTATTCTACAACACATGCTACATCATTAATTTATAAAAAATAAAAAAAAATTACATCAGAATTTTTTCCCCCTCACACAAATGTATCAAATGGCTTCGGAAGATCTAAAATACAGAGTATGAGTCAGTATGACTTTTTGGTGCTTTTTGTGCTTTTTGGAGCTTGGAAGCATAAATAACCATCCACTATTGTTATATGGAAAAGTGAAGCTAGTTTTCATAGAATAAAGAAAACAGCACAAGGTCAGAATGACATGAGGGTGTGTAACTGATGGTAATTCTTCACAGATCTTTGAGAAAAAAAAATATGGTGATGATTTTTATGCAGTTTCCATGTATTTTTCATCTCAATGTCTGAAGTGAAAGTGACATCTTACCCTAGTTTTTCTTTTTTTTCCTTCTTTTTTTTTAAATACATCTGAGTTGTTTCATTAAAGATTTTTATGGAATATGTGATAGTAGGCAACGTCTTTATTGCTTTACAGCATCTCGAATTAAAGTGTCATTTGCATTTGCTTTGTCCTACAGTGAGTGCACATGTATAATTTATTATTACTTTTATAAATGTACCAACATTTTGGAAATAAAGTCAGTGCGTGCGACTGACAAAAACAGCACACTCGCCAAACAGGAATCCATTTTTGCTTTAATAAAAAACAATATCATTTGAAAATAAATATGTTTACTAGTTATACTAAAAACACAAAAGGATGTTAATATTTAACAGCACCAATAAATATATTACTGTGAAAATATACTGAAAATGTGGCTGTACATGGCAAACAAACAAAAACTAATTTCTGGCACTTTCACACAAAGAGAATGTTTGTTTTTCGATCCTAAAACCTCGTCCGAAGGCCTCGTATCTCCACCAAACTGATCGCTCATACAAAAACGTTACAAGAAACGAAAAAAAAAAGGCGTTTTCAGGAATGTTGAAGTGTTTGTTTCTCTTTTGTCTTTCGTTCTATAAAGCTGTCCACAGTTTTTCAGATTGGTGACGATGTCGATAGGAAACAAATCAAAACAATATCAACAATAACACTGTATATAAATAGATCAAATTAAATACACAGAATACTGAACATATTCTAACATTATAAATTAGATGTAGTGAACTACACAAAGGGATATTAGATATGTATACACAGCTATTGTGTGGTAATGAACAGCTCCTAAAGTCCTGTGCAATATTCTCTTTGGAAAACATTACAAACTTAAATATTTGAGTTATCTTTTACTACTGCGGTGAATGGAACGAGTCTGTTCCTTAGCAAAAGTCAGAATCGATTTGCATTTTGTCACATTTATGCTTTTTTTTTTTTAAATCTCCGTATGTACATATATGTAATATCCCTTTAGTATTATCACACCAAGTCCTATTGGATGTTAGTCAGTACAGGGTGACTAAGACTTCACCCTAGTGAGAGTGACATCACAGAAAGAGATAGTTTCGCATTCGTATCCCATGCCTGGACCCACTGTTCCGAACATTCCGGAAAGAATCGTTATTATGTCACTTCCTCTCCTTTGATTGACAGTCTGTAACTGTTCATGTAAAGGCTTGGAGGCTGTCGTTTGCACCTTTCAGTGAAGTCTTGGACATTCGATCCGAGTCTTTAAATATGAATCCACAGCAGGCCGATCCAGTGAAGCTTTACCTCACTGCGTTCTGTCCAATCACAGGCCCAGGTGCAGTGACACTGAAATATATCCCATTCACACGCCAAGCAGCGTCTTCGTTTACTTGTAGGTGATAGCAGCGACACACATTGTCATTGTCATTTAATATATATAATATATATTCTATATATTCATATATTAATATCTTAAAAATTTACATCGGGATGGTATCTCCTGCCCTCGTTTCATTCTCTGTCTTTCGTTCAGGCTAGTGTTTGCAGTTCGTCCAGGGAATGCATCCTCAGGTTTAAAAAGTGCTGTGCCGTAAAAAAAAAAAAAATCCTTCATTCATTGTTCTGCTCAACGCGCCGCTCATCATCTTGGCTTTTCACATCTGAAAGAGAACAATGGACTGGTTAGAGATCTGCATGAAATTTGTGTCAATATATGTCAGGAAAAGCCTATGCGCTTATTGATCTGTGCTTTTTACCCACCCAACCAATCAGAGTTAATCAGAGTCTTTTCCCACACTACTGTGTTTACAATAGAAAAGTAGTGCTTGCAATGAAATATATATATCTTTTTTTTTTTTTTTTCAAAGAATACACTATAAGTGTGAAATGTAATGTTTCCTGACATTTAATTGCATGTTAAGTTTAAGTTTAAATTGCAGTTAGCTGAACTTTACAGGGATTTTTTTATCCACTTACGTAGGACTTAAGTACATCTTTATATGTAGTTCTATAATTAAAGTGCACTGCTTGGACTGGCATTTATGTTGAATCTTGTATTTCATGTATTTAAATAAATTTGTAATTACACATTTATACGTTTAAAATATATTAACTTTAAGTAATAGCTACTGAATAAGACACTGTAGTTAAAATTATAATCAAGTACTTTTCATGTGCAGTGTGTTAGTCAACACATAAAAACAATTGTACTTATTACAAAAAGTAAAACATAATTATATTGAAAACTTTAATTTGTCATTACTTTTTAAAAGTGTACTTAAGTATGTTTTGAAGCAGTCATGAAAGTCCCTCTCTTTAATTCACTTAAGCTGCCTTTTATTTCATTCATCTTAGATTATCAGCAAGTACAGTATTTTATATGCTTTTAAGATTTGAAGTACACTACAAGTGAACATTCAATACAGTTAAGAGCACTTAATACTTAAGCGCAATTTCTGGCAGTCTAATCAAAAACATTGTTTATCTGTATAGTGGTTATGTAAAATTATGTAAAAATAATTTTGGATGGGGTAAAAATTTGGTTTGGGTGGAACGATCACAGGATCAAAGTATGCTGTGATCTCCACAAAACATAACAATAACATTTGGACAACATATACAGAATGCTAACAGATGGTCAAACAGTTTAAATTAGTGGGACAGTTGATGAGAAGCAAACAGCATGGACACACTTACATATTCACATATATAATTCAACAAGATCTCATATTAGGTATCTGAAATATGAACAGATAATGGCATGATTTTGCACGTAATGGCAAAATCAATAATTCCAAATTCAATTCTGAAGATAAAAAAACAAAAACCAACGAATTACTGAGAGCAGGATGTGTGAGTTGCACTTTACAAACACACACACACACACACACACACACACACACACACACACACACACACATATGCAGCATCCCTGCCTGTTTACTCAAAAACACAAAATCATGTTGCTTGCTGACAGAATACCAGCAAATTCAGTTCATGTACACTATTAATCATTTCTATGCTCAACACCAAAACATGATGTCACTATTAGTGCGCAGCAGTAATGCACCAGATTCTGACATTAAATGTCTCTCACTGCAATACACCACACACACACACTACGTCACCATGCATATAGAGTATAGAAGGGAAAATGCAACAAGCGCTATATGCATGCACATTTCAGATCTTCAGATGGGACTGGATGAGAAGATGCATGTTGCACGTGGTGACAGTTCATAAACAAACCTGCAAGTTCTTTCGTTTAACTCAAGTTGTCTGGACTTGCATTGCAATTGTGTGAATTTGCAGGAGCATGTACAGGTGAGGGGGTCCTGCACATACAAGCGCTTTCTTCTCTCTGAGCAAGGCTCACAGTGGCTGCAAGGGAAGCAGAAGGGAGAGACAGAGAGATATCTAAGCACTAGTGATTTGGGCAGAGAGCTGAAGACACATACACACACTCATGCACCTCGCCATCACACACCACCTCCATTCACCGCACAAATGTGGGTCCTTTTTTGCTTTGTTTTGAAGATAGGTAGCATTAGTGGCAGATTGTGTGTGATGAGAGCAAATAATGACTTCATTCATTCATCCATCAGTGAGCACACATGAGACACAGTGAATAGCTGCAACACTGAAATCAGACAGGAACAGTTATTGGACTGACAGACAAGTGCATTCACATACATACATTCACATATACACAAATGAAAGCAGTATGAAGCAAAAGCAATGTCTGCTAAAGTGGTTTGTTCAACTACAGAAACTTGACACAGAAGCACAAATTTTGAACAGTTTTGAGCTAAAACAGTTTCATAGACACATTAACTGTTCTACAATTTGGCTTTCTTAATTGTGTAATTGCACCTACACTGGAAAAACCAACAAATGTAACCAGGCAAATGTATTTGTTTTTGGTTTGATTCAAACCTTACATTTTGGTTTAATACAAATATTTTCCCAAAGACCAAAACCTTCACACAAAGTAAAAATTGTATTTATTATAAAGATTATAACATTTTTTTTTTTTTAGAAATAAGCCAAAATGTTATTTAATGTAGGTCAATATAATTAAAAAAAACATCATAAACAAAATCAAAACCAGCTGTAAAATGAAAGTAAAATTTTCACTTACAGTAAAACTAAAAACATTTTATTAGTCAATATTTGATTTAGTTGACTTAATATAAAGGCAACTTTGAAATACCTTAATTTTTATAATGATGTTGTTTTAAAATATGCATCATGGTTTTCTTTTATGCACAAAAAATAATAAAATAAATTTAAAAATAAAAATAGTGTGTGTTCTGCACATCAACACACACAAAATACAATTTTTATTGTTTATTTTATTTATTTTCTTTTTCTATGAGGAGTGTTATTTGCCTTGAACTGAACAAAAGAGGTTTAAACTGAATTTTCAATTAGACCAATAATAAAAATGCACATTAAATAAATAACAAAGTCATTTCACTGTTTTCAGTGCAGTAAAGACAAGCCCATCTACAGGAGAGAAATTCAACTGCTGTTCTCAGAAACATCAAAGGGGCCGAAATACAGGTGAGGGATCACATGAGCATGGCGTCATCCCAGCTGTGGCGGCACATTAGTACGATAATGACAGAGAGAGACAGCCATGCAACCTCTGTTTATTTACCTTTGGTTGCTTTCGTCTTTGTGGGCCGTGGGCCAATTAGAGTACAAATAAATGCAGACTGGGGCTTTAAACCGACAGGACAAGTGAGATTACAAAGAGCAAACAAGCTGCCCTGAAATAAAGCCAATGACTGAGAGCAAAATACTGCTTGAGCGCAGGTGAGCCGAGGCGCTGAGATCGCCCGAATCTCCCTCTCTCGCTCTCTTTTGGCTTTTAACCCTCCCCACTCTGGGTTTTCTGCAAAACAGGAAAATAATGCAAGAAAAGGACATCTAAATGAAGCTGCGGACAGTCATGCTGAGAAAGATCAATCAGCACTAAGGATGTCAAAAGTGCTTTGGTATCAATTTGATACTTTAAAAAAACATACTTTTTTAGTAAACTACATTTTATACGTTTGTTTGTTTGTTTTTTTACATTTTTTATCAATAATTTAAATAATAAAATAATTTACATTTTGTTTAATAAAAAATACTACTTTACTACTACAATTCAATTTTTTTAAAGACATGTAATGTTACAAAACATTTATATTTCAAATAAATGCTGTTCATTTGAACTTTGTATCACGGTTTCCACAAAAATATGAAGCAGCACAACAGAAGCTTTCAACATTGATAATAATGAATGTTTCTTGAACAGCAAATCAGCATATTAGAATGATTTCTGAAGCATCGTGTGACACTGAAGACTGGAGTAATGATGCTGAAAATTCGGGATATAATCACAGAAATAAATTACATTTTAAAATATACTACAATAGAAAACAGTTATTTTAAATTGTAATAAAATTTCACAATATTACTGTATTTTTTATCAAATAAATGCAGCCTTATTGAGCATAAACATTAAAAATAATTAATAACTCTTAACAACATTTAGAAAACATTAAGAAACCTTAAGGTGGGTAGTGCAAATGCTATATGCTACAGTTTTTAACCTTTTTTTTTTTTTTTTTCATGCAAATGCTATATGCTTTATGCTTTAACCTTTTTTTTTTTTTTTTTCATATTTAGTATTTTAAATAAGTAAAATTCATATTCATTGTTCATTTTTGCTGTTATATTAAAATTTGTACTGAGAATTGTGAAATTCCACTGGTATTAGTACAGACCACTAAAATTATCCTATTGTGACAACCCTACTCGCCAGCAATTAAAGCGAGGAGAAGCACGTCACGGACAGTCCTCATGAGGAATCAACGGCAGACTCTACAAATAAGCAGCTGAAGGAACTGAGCCATAGTGTGAGTGTGTGTGTGTGTGTGTGTGTGTGTGTGTGTGTGTGTGTTTGAGGAGCTTAGAGGTAAGGATCGAAGCACAAGGAGCTGAACTTGAGCTTGTGAATCAGAAGCGAGAGTCGGTGGGCTCCCCGCCCCCCGCGTGAGCGCCTGCCTACGTGCTGAGAGAGACGACACGCAGAGAGCCGGCGCTTAGCCCCATGACCAACGGATTTCATTTAGCCCTCTCAGCTAACCCCATCCATCTCTGTACGCTCGCATTAACCTATAGGTGCAGAAACGCACACGGCCTCCGCTCATCCAATTAAACTGGGAACATTCCCTGACCTGAACCTACCTTCCTTCCATTAGATCAAATATATGAGCAAAAATAGCTTTTCAGCACTAACATCCCTTTTCAGAGACATTTTTGAAATGACATTTGACCAACTGGTGTCAAGGCGGTTTTTAGTGGATGTTTTTTTTTAACCTTTTTGTGTGATTTTTTTTTTCCCAGAATATTTGATTTGCTATTTCTGTTATATACACTGCAATTGTTACCTTCAAGAGATGTGTAATCATAAAATGAGGATTTCTTGGTATAAATTAATCTATTTGGGTTGATTAATCAATATTAAATCATATTTTTGACTTGAATAAAACAAGTTAATCAAACAGTTGCTGCTCCCCTTTGACTTTGACTATGGAAGTCAATAGGGACCAGAAACTATCTGTAGCAAAATATCTTCTTTTGTGTTCATCAGAAGAAAGAAATTCATAGTTTGAGGGTGAGCCTCATTTTAGGTGAACTATCCCTTTAAGACACAATAGCACTAAATGAGGTTTGTGAAACATCTCAAGGTAACCAACAATGACCTCCGTCTCAGGATCACCTACTATTTAAAAGGCTAAAAATAAAAGTGGGTTAACGACAGACACTTGTTACTATGATTAGTGTGGGGAAGCAGGCAAGGGTCAGACTTGAGCAACTGCGGTGTGAGGAGAGCGGCGGGTGGTCTTCACAGACTCAATCTTACAGCTGCCATAAAGCGCCAGAGCCTCGCCCCAAAAGAAAAACTGCAAGCATCCTATAAAAGACTCCGTTATCGGCAGGTCAGAGCTCGTAAGAGATATACACGGAGCAATCCAGGCTTTAACACAAGCACCATGGGCTGTAAAACCTCAGAGAGGACTGGCAGACACCTGACCAGCTCAACACTCGACTTGTTGATCTAAAATTAGATTGACCACATTTGAAGGCATATTATTTGAACATTTTTTTCACATTGCTGTTGCAAACCTTTTTTAAAAATATTTAAATATGGTAAAATGTGGTAAAATATGTTCAAATGTGTTTGTTTTCAGTTTTTTTTTTTTATTATTTGTGACTGGAAACATATTCAGAATTTAGCACATGCTCTTATCCAAAATGACTTGCATAATTACTATTTCTTTATGATACTGCCATGTTCAGCAGATGGGAAGCATTAAATTATGAATGGTTATCTGCCAGAAATAGAGACGCACTAGCTATAAAAAGACGTCCAACACAAATAAAAGGAAAAGCAGGTTTTGTTTTGGGTGTTGAGTCGTTATTAAGTCCTGTTGAAAGCAGTGAGTCTTGAGTTTGCGCCTGAGGATTAGGAGGGATTCGGCTGTTGTATCATTTAGTGGAAGCTGATTTGACTGTATGGGTGTGAGAACAGTCGAGTGTTTCACTTTATTAGCTTTGTTGTGGGCAAACGGGGTTGAGGGTGTGTCGAGGCGGTTGCGGTAGTAAACCGGGCAATATACAGTAATGAATTCTCACAATATATTTGCGACAAAATTAGCAAACAATTGAGCATCATAATGAATAATACTACGGTTTTGTTATATTTAATATGTACTCATTTATTTATTTATAATGCTAGGACAATGCTTGTGAACTTTTAGTACTCAGTGGCGATACTGATCCAGTAGAGGGAGCGCTGAAGGTCTAGACAGGGTTTTACCATTTTTGATAATATTTTGATCTAGATTTAATTTTCATTTCAATTTTAGTTAAAGGTGACATATCATGAAACTTGACTTTTCCAGGTTTTAAGTGCTATAATCAGGTCCCCGGTTCATCTACCAACCAAGGAAACGTGAAAAAGATTAACCCAGTAACTTTGTTTTGGTACGCCTTTTTCTGCAAGCGTCTGAAAAAAACGAGCATGTCTGATTTCGCTCTCCTAGTGACGTTGCAAAGGGATCTCATTATAATATTACCACCCCTTAATCTGTAAGTTTCCACCCATGGCGCCGTTATTTGATTTCGCAAGCGACAACGGTGTGCCAGTTCTAATGCCATGGTGAGAGTTTGAGCAAAGCATGCTAACTGTTCTGTCTTTGGCTGCACAGACGAGCACAGAACACTATTTACAGTCCCAGCCTCAGAGACAAGAGAGCAGTGGATTTATTGATTTATTT